TTTTTTTTTTAATGAGATTTTAACCAAACATCATAAGACACAACAATACATAAATATTTGTAATTTATATAAAATAAAAATAATTGTTAAAGYTCACACTTTAAGATTCTGAGGCCTGATTAAATTATAAAATTAAGTGTATGTTTAATTCTGTTGGCATTATCTATTGATAAAGGATCAATGAAGGAAAAGTTGATCCGATAGGTAGAGAAATAGGATACTTTTAATCATGTATATTATTATTATAAGTTATAATAACTAAAATATCAAATTATTTAATACAATTTTCAAGTGTTTGTTATTTTGTGGTTTTTATATAGCTACCCGATGGAATTGCATATGGTATTCTCAAACACGGATTATGACGATGAAAAAATAGCCTTAACAAGAAATGACGGATTGGTTGTTTTAGCCATGTTCTTTGAAATAACTGAAGAAGATAATCCGGTATACTCAGAAATCGTCAACACCTTGGGTCAAATAAATATGCCTGATCAATCATCAAATTTACAAGTTGGATTTACAATTAGATCTATGTTACCTGAATCTACCGAACACTATTTCACATATAAAGGTTCTTTAACTACACCACCTTGTTTGGAAGTCGTTACATGGATAGATTTCAAACATCCAATTCAACTATCTCATAACCAAGTACTATACATACCCAATTACTAAATTAATATTCTTAATTAATATTTAGCTTGTGAGTCAGGATAAACCAACTCAAGATACCTATAGAACTTCAGCATTTGAAATTTTGAACTCCTGAACTAAATGTTTTTGCAGGCCATGTACAACATTTCCCTTAAAATACAAGCAAAATGAGTGTCCCTTATACAATTTTAACTWAATATCTTATGATATAAATTTATATCATAATATATTATTGAATATAAAATAAGTATTCCTATCAAAATTTTAAAATTTTAAAAATTAACACCCTCCCCCAACTTGAGGAGGTTTAAATTYGCATACTGATTTCTACATTAAAGGTCAATTTAATTAATAAAACCCAAGATTTTAAATAAAGCAAATGAATAGAAAAACTCATTTATAGATTCTTAAAAATTGTGATTGTAAAAATAAATAAATGGATAGGAATAATTTATGTTAATGATTTTTACAGGTTCAAGCTTTTCGTATGTTGCGTTCAAAACATGGACAACTAACACATAATTCTAGGCCTGTACAAGAGTTGTCGGGTAGACCTGTGTGGTATAACGTAGGTGGCTTTGCGGCTTTGAATACACCAACTACTCAGAAAAATACCGCAGCAACATTAGGTCCAGCTATTTACAACATTTTCATGTTATTGTGTTACAAAGTCATTGCACTAACTCTATTATAATCCTTCTATTATATTTAAAACYATCGTCAACCATCAACAGAGTTTTGTTAAATTATTAAGGTCCATGAAAAGGATAATTACACATTTACACTATTTATTAATCAATATGTATACACACACATATATAATATATATTTATATATGTGTGTATACGTAAAACAAAAATTGTATAACTATATTTATGTGATAGATCTCAACAGTTTATTAGTCTTACACGTTTTGTGTGTTTTACCTCTATTTAACGAAACATTTTTTTGTATTTTAGTATTTTATTATTATTTTTCATAAAAATTATGTATTAAGACTTTTTTCTTACCTATATATAATAATTTTACAATTTATTTTTTATACTAACAATTTTAAATATCAATATTTAATTCTTATCATTGGAACATATTTAAAAAAACAATTTTATTTAGAAAATAATTTTTACATTTATAACAAAATTATGCTCTTAATTTGTCTCCAATAAAAATTACGGCCATATTTTTGATTTGTCGATTACTTTATAACCACCAAATACATTTAGAATATAGATATTTTTAAATAATGGTCTGGTATTATAATATAATTTAATTTAAAGATAATGTAATATACTGTTTTTATACAGAGAACCTACAGATACAACAAATAAAATTATCTTAATTTATTTAATGTTTACTATAAGATCAATTTAATACACAATAAATAATATTATAAAATAATTTTGAAGTGATTCAGGAGTTTTTTGAAGGGGTTAAACTTTATTATTATTAAAGCAATATGAATATATATTATTTAAAT